TGGATATACACACCCCGACGCGAGACTCCAGAGTGGTTTTATGGCATATCGAGCTTTTTTCTACTCTTCTGAAATTTTCTCTTCAACGCTCCAAACAGGAGTATGATCCTCGATGAAAAATCACAAAGTCTTCGCCGCGTTATTACCGGACTCGCGAATCAAAATGCCGGTCACCGTTAAAGTGTTTTTATGCAAGGGGTGTTAGTGGTGGTGATCACCTCCTCTCACCCCACATTTTTGTCGTAAAATTTGTGCGTATAATTAAATTATTGCTGTAATATTTAATAACTGATTTACGTTCGTGTATGGATTATGATTTTGAAAAAACATGTGTAAAACGAACGTGAAATGTGTAAGGATGTGTATAGTGTTGAAAATATGATACAAGGTGGATATAAGACTTTCATCAATTCTTCTACATGTTTGTTTAACTTTTTTGAGACGAACTAACAATATATTTAAAGTGTTCTATGTTATTTGTGATTCTATTGATAAAATATTGCACAAAGGTTACAAGACGAAAGGGTGTAATTTCCAGAAAGGAGAAGAACAAGAAGAGTGTGAGGCCATATGCCGCCAGCCGGGCTATCGGCAAGAGGCTTGTCTACCTTGATGGACCACGGACAACCAGATGCTCGTCATCGGAGCGAGCGGTTTCTACTTCATCCAGAGAATGGATCCTCTAATTCTCATAGTTCAAACACAGCCAATTCATCTCCACGATATCAACATAATAATAGAACAAATAATCATTCCACAAGGTAATATCTACGTTGTTATTGCATATCTATAAATGTAAAAGGTTTGATAAATTTATATCAATGAAGGGATGTATTTTATTTACATTTTATATTTTAGTTACGGATATTTGTATGGACGTACATCTAGCAACAATATGTCTGATAGCAGTGTTTCTGACACACATAGTGGCGGTACAGCAAGAACTGTTTCTCAACAGACTAGTCCATCTCATGGTACACATTCCTCTTCTCAATCTCGACAGGACAATAGTTCAACAATTTTTACAGCTTTATTTGATTATGTTGCCCAAGGCGAGGATGAGTTATCTTTACAAAGAGGTGAAACAGTTGAGGTAAATTAATATATCATTAATTAGTATATCAAAAATGTCTATAAAATTAAATAGTTTTTACTAGAATTTCAAAATGTATATACACTCTATTTGGTACATTAGGTTCTATCTAAGGATTCAAAAATCTCAGGTGATGAAGGATGGTGGACTGGGAAAATCCATGGAAAAGTTGGTATTTTTCCAGCCAATTTTGTTGCAGAAGCAGAAAGTATTGATCGGGTGTCATCGGTGATTGACAAAGTTCAACCAGTTGAAATTGATTTTGAAGAACTACAATTAGAAGAAGTTATAGGAGTTGGTGGATTTGGGAAAGTTTACAGGTATATAATTTCATTTTACAATGTCGCTAGTATCTTATAATTGAACATATTATTCATTTCTTAGAATGATATTCATCATTTTTTTTATAACATTCTAGAGGATTTTGGCAAAAACATGAAGTGGCTGTTAAAGCAGCCCGCCAAGATCCAGATGAAGAACCAAGTGTTACATTAGAAAATGTTCGACAAGAAGCAAAATTATTTTGGTTATTGAAACATGAAAACATTGTGCAATTAGAAGGGGTTTGTTTAAAGATGCCAAATATGTGTCTGGTAATGGAATATGCACGTGGTGGTAGTTTGAACAGGGTTCTTAGTGGTAGAAAAATTAGGCCTGATGTACTTGTAGATTGGGCAATACAAATTGCTCGTGGCATGGATTATCTTCACAATAAAGCACCTATAAGTCTTATTCACAGAGACCTAAAAAGCTCTAATGGTAAGACAACATTAATAATCAAACTGCCATTTGTTAAAATTCTCCTTCCACATATATAAATAATACATATTAAAATAACGTATATTATTTACATTAATAATAGTGTTATTGAGCGAGCCTATAGAAAATGATGATCTACAATATAAAACTTTAAAAATAACTGACTTTGGATTAGCAAGAGAAGTTTATAAAACAACTCGTATGTCAGCGGCGGGCACATATGCTTGGATGGCACCAGAGGTTATTAAAAAGAGTACTTTCAGTAAAGCCAGTGATGTTTGGAGGTCAGTTTTATGTGCTTCCTATGTCACTTCTATTAATTGTAACGAGTATATTTAAATAGTAAAACATATATTTTTTCTTATTAATACATTTTTTAATGTATTTCCAGTTATGGTGTGCTTTTATGGGAACTTTTGACTGGTGAAACACCTTATAAAGGAATAGATGCTTTGGCAGTAGCATATGGCGTTGCAGTAAATAAACTTACATTGCCTATTCCATCAACTTGTCCTCAACCTTGGAGATTTTTAATGGAAGGTGCATTAATCTATGATCATTTACATTGAACATATAAATTATTTTAATTTGTCCAAAAATTAAAGTAAAGTGAAAAATATTTAACGATTTAGCTTGCTGGGCATCTGATAGTCATTCAAGACCAGGATTTGCTGAAATTTTAGTAGCATTAGATGAAGTTCGTAGTGCATTTGCAGCAACACCACATGAGTCGTTTCACACAATGCAAGAAGACTGGAGACTTGAAATTGAACAAGTTCTTCATGGATTGCGCATGAAGGAAAAGGTACGTATTTTAATTTTATATATTATTTTGTAAAAGCGGTCTTATGCAAAAATAAAATGTTTCATTAATGTAATTAACGTGTGCAGCATTTATATCAGTATAAATAATGTTTGTAATAATTCTTTCAAATGCTATACAAAGGCATGCCGCTCATTAGAAGAGGTAAGAACGTGTAGTTATTGAAGCTAATAATTGCTTTTGTTTCAAACAGTAAACATACTTATTTTATTAAGTAATAAATAATACATTTTGATTTATAAAGCACATTTTGTTAATATAGTTTTTTTATACTTTTGCCTATTAGGAATTGCGCTGTAGAGAAGAAGAATTAACAAAAGCACAAGTGCAACAACGACAACATGAAGAAAACCTGAGGCAGCGAGAACAAGAATTAGCAGCCCGAGAAATAGATTTACTAGAGCGTGAACTTACAGTAATGATAATTCAACAACAGAATACTCCTACACCAAACAAAAGGCGAGGAAAATTCAAGAAATCAAGATTAAAGCTAAATAAAAAGGAGCCCGGTAGCAATATAAGCGCTCCTTCTGGTAAGTATATTGTATTATAATTTCTTTCAACGGTACTATACAATTAATAAAATTAAATAACCGTTATACATCTTTATTTTTATAGACTTTCGTCACACAATAACTGTTCAACATACGGCGTTGGATCGAGGAAAAGTACGGAATCCATCAAGACCCAATAGTCCACCTGGCTCGCCTAGTATTCCGAGGCTTCGTGCAATTGCATGTGAGTACTTTGGTTTTAGGATGTTTTGTAGTTTACAATTTCGATTACGTGTTGCTCAGTATGAATGATTTTGCTCTGAGATATTTTCTAGTATTTTTGAAAAATTTGAATCACACTGTTTGTGCTTTGTAGACACGTTGTGTTAATTTAATATTGATCTTTATTAGCATGGTGTGAATAATTGAACATATTTTTATATATTTTTGAAAAGTTACATTTATATGCATACAATCTATACTGCGTGTTTCTTTTCTTTTTTTTTCTTGATAAAATTGAAGAAATTACACAATTGTAACTATTCAATATAGAAAGTTTATACTTTTTTTTTTGTTTTGTTTTGAAGAAATCCTTTATAAAAGTCACTGTTTAGAATAAAAGAAATTTTTAGTACTGAGTGCTACTTGTGGATTTTATGATACACCTTTATCTTTTTGAAGCGTGCATAAAGCTTAACAGAACTTAGGGTAGGAGGGAAAATTAGTATTGTAGTGAGTAGCGTTTTGTTTTTTGTCTTCCTCCTTTAGTACCAGCAGATGGAGTGAAGGGTAAGACTTGGGGACCATCAACACTCCACCAACGTGAGCGTGGGGCTATTATTACGCAGCCACCAAATCCTGCGTCTCCAGGTGGCAAGCGGTGGTCACGCTCTGCTCCAGATCTAGAAAAGACACCCCTGCGTACCGCCCTGTTGGCACATCGCTCCCCGCTTCTTCAAGAAATAGGTAACCCCTCCTCCAGAAAGTTGTACTCCTCAGCAAATAATTTGATAGACAGTCAGCCAGGATATAGTTATAACAACATTCCAGAAAATTCTAACAATATTATGCAAAGCATGAGCTGTCCACCTTGGAAGATAGGCGAAGATTCGGTTATTGTGGACAACGATATTTATGAGTCTGTGGTATTGCATAACAAATCGGCGAATAATCTTAAAACTCATTTTTCGGATGACCATTTTGTCATGAACAATTACTCAAAACTCACAACTAGAAGTACTTTAAAAACTTCACCTCCTAGATGTCAAAAGTATGTAGTTGGTGACTGGGACCACCCGTATTCTTCGAATTTTGTACAAAGCGTAGCATCTAGTTTGGTTGGTACTGCGAAACGTGTGAAAAAGAAAAAACGTGAACGAAGTAAATCGAAAGAGTCGAAGCGCAGAGACAGTTCAGAATCACGATTAGCCGCTTTCGCTGATTTCTTTCGTTCCCCTTCCGGTTCAAGGAAAAGCTCCTTAAATTCTCCTCATAGCGCAGAACGAAAGAATTCTGTTACCATTAAAATCAATGATACAGATGGTTTAGAGTCGAGTCCTGAAAATTCCGTAGGTAAAAAGTCACAGCATAAATCTAGAATTTCTAAAAGCCCGTTGAGAGTCTTTAATAAGATGAAGGCTTGGGGAAGTCGAGATGCTCTCGATGATAAAACTACCACAGTCAAAGTAGAATATAGCGTTTTAGATAATACAATATCTATGCCACAATTTAATCGGCGTGATTCCGATCAAAATAATGCAGTACCTAAATTCTTGGCTGCAAACTCACGGGAAGGGATAGATTTCGAAAGTCTCAAGACAGAACTGTGTAATTTTGATTCGGAACATTCAAACGATAGTTCTATTTCAAAAAATTCTTTAGGTCTGTTTCAAGATAATAAGTGCAAAAGATCCCCTACCTCTTTCGATTGTGTTAGCGGTGTATCAGATGCGTGTTTGAAACAACACACTTCGCAAGTTGATCAAAGTTTCGATTTGAATTCCTCGATAAAAACAAAATCAAAAAGTAACGAATACTTGCGCAACTGTGAAGAAGATAACGTTGATACCATCAACTCAATTATGCATACGTCTGGTTATGTACAGGAGTGCGAACGTCAAAATTCGCAAATCAATTATGGACCAAAAAAAAGTTTAATCGAGTCACTAAGGGATGTTCCTTCCCATAGAAGTTCCGAAGATGTGAATACGATTACTTACGCATCACCTAAAACTTCTGTGGCCGAAAAATTTTTAAAAAAGGATGATAAATAATATTGCATTTCACAAAGATAAAGATGTGCATATCACTCGTAAATGCATTTCACGAATATACCTTTCTGTTTTATATGTTTTAGTAACAGTCCTATATTTTCTTTACTGCAGGCCTTTCTGAGGAAAACATCTATCCTACTCGTAAGTCTCTTTATATTGTTGCGCAATTGTTTCGCATTTTATAAGAGACCTGATTGTTTTTCTTCTATATCACAGTTAGCTCGGTAAATAATATTTTCATTTTTTTTTCTTTTGCATCGTTACAAAAGTGAAGATCTCAGATGAGCAGTGCCTTTTTATGTTTATATTTCCTTTTCTTTTTTCTTTTGCTGAATTGTATTTAAGTAGATTGTGCTTAAAATTATTCTCATAGGAATGCACGAATATGCAGTTCAGTTAGATTTCCTACATTTGCTGATTATCTAAGTAGGATGTCCCCAATATATACATATATTTTAGTAATACATGTACAGTTACAAACATTTAATGACAAACTATGTTTCCCTTTTTTACATTGATAGTGTTGTATTTAAGATTATTTTATTCGGTTGAATTTTTGGAATGGTACATATTATTACTATGTATCTTGTAGGAAATGATTAAAAATTTGTTGAGGACTTTAATGAAATAATGAAATTAATTTTAATTTGCATAAATTGATAGTCTTGTTAATTAATTTTAATTAATGCCTATCAAATAGAAATGTCTATCAAATTACATAATGAATATATTATTTTAGGATATTTTAATAAAGGGTAGCCTGTACCCTGCAATAATCTAAAAACTATTTATCCTAATTTAAACTGATAAGAACTTCGTATTTTGAACTGTAATTTAATGAGTACATAAAATGTAAATGCAGTCTTTCTGGTGTTGGTTCTTTTCTGATGTTATTTGGAGTATATAACATTCTAACAAAGCAGAGCTAACAGCCCCTCACTATGTGAAAAGAAATCATGTGCTTCTGCCACTACAACAAAAAATTTTAGATTAAAATTGTTTCTTTTATTTAGGAGCGTTTATGGAAAGGTGTGTTTTTGCATAGTTGTAATTCCGAAAACCTAAAAAATTCAAATTAAAATTATAAAATTATTATAGAAGAAATCGTGTCTTGATTGTGAAAGTAGAGTTGTATTTTTTCTTTATTGCTTTACACGCATTTAAATCAATTTCAGATTTTGTTAATTATACAGCCTAATTTAACAGCGATTTCATTTTTGTATTATCATAGATTTTTGACATTTTTTTAGATTCAGAAATTTCGCACACGTCACATACAACACATGGAGCGACACGCACACTTGTATTTAGAAATAGAAATTTTTTCAATAAAACCTTTTCAGTTGGACACATTGAATTTTGTTTTTTCGTTTTCTGAATTTTTACGCTCGATTTGTGGTAATATTTATAATATCGAACAAATATATTTATATACATTGAATGTCCAAACTATGCATTTTATATTCAACTGACTTTTATATATTTCATTTTATTAATTGCACTAACTAAAAATGAAACAAATAATACTGTATGATATTTTATGTTTGTTTTACATAAGTAAATTTTTTTGTATAATTACCGATAACCGAGCGTAAAAAAATCCTTTTGCATGCTTCCAGTAGGATCCTAACTGTCAAGGCCATTTGGGTTTGGTCTTTTTCTTACCCTAAAATTCCAATCTCATTTGTGACAAATAGTCCATTAAATTTTTTGCATTCCTTCTTTATATTGATTCCAATAGAAAATCTAAAACAGGTAAAAAACATTTTTTCTTTTGTAATAGTACTGTATAACTATTTTCAATATTTCTACATTTTTATCGAAGAGATAAAAATGGTAATAAATAAATAAATATCATGAAAAGAAAGTATTCTAAAATGAGAAAGAGAAAATTCTATAGGGTAAAGAAAACTATTTAAAATTAGTTGCAATAAATACTCATTGTTGTAAAAATAGTTTTTACCTTTTTCTCTCTTTACACTCTGCTTTATTTTCAAAGTTTCAATATTTTTCAATATCTTGGTTTATATTTGAAATATGGGCTTTATGTATATAACATGAATGTATTTTAGATAAGCTTTTTGAAAATTATTGGTAGTAAGGAATAGTTGAAATAAGTTTGTGGCATGTAATATTTTAATATGATGCACGTGATATGTTGTGCTTATACACACAAATGATTGTAAGTAATTCAGTAACCAGTAAGCATGTTGTAACTCCAATACTAAACTGTTTTCTTTAAATTTCATACAATAAACATATATAATATTTGTAAGAGGCTTATAAAAGTTATTAATAAAGGTAAGAAACCAAAAATAATAGTAGTAGTATAGTATCTAAATCAATTTGATATTGTGAAAAGGAAAGTAAAAATTTCAATTGAATTTTATACTTTTAAGTATACAGTTTTTACAAATATATAGCAATATCACCATTATTATTGTAGAACTCTGATTATTTTTGTAGATTATACAGCCTTGCCACCTGATCTCTCAACTGACTGGGTAACATCGGATTATCCATTGAAGCCTGGATTAACAGGACCTTATATTATGCCAATGCCTGTACCGATGCCAACTCTCTACAACGGAGAAATGAAGAAACCAAAGTTAAGCATAATAGAGCTGGTTTTTTACAATATCGCAGCTATGTTAGCTGGAGTAGCTACTGGATATGATGTAAGAATGTCAAACATATCTCCAATTCATCCAAGATTATACCCACGACTTGGTGAATGTGAAGATGAACCTCCACGATGGTGGTTTCAAGCAGATACTGGATCAAATCGTAATTCTGGTTATCTTGGACCTGATTATGAATTTAGTTCAAGTAGTGGTTATCCTCATAATACATACCATGGACCAGCAAGACATTATAGGTATAAAATTGAAATATATTTTCAATTACACTTTTTTTTTCTTATGTAAATTTTTGAATTCCTTATATATTTATATTAAGATTAAAACAACTATCACAGGCCATTCTTAAGTAACATGGGTGGTATAGCACCTGGTCTTCCACCTAGTGTAATGCCTGACAAACCTCTGAGATTCACGGATTCACCGCAACATTATGCGAGCAGTACAAGTTCTAATGCACCAACACCAAGTCCTAGAAGAAAAAGTAGCAGTACTAGTAATGAAGATGTATATACACATGATACTGGAAGAGTTGATCGAATGGAAAGAGTACCAACAATATACATGGGCACTGTTGCTCCTTTTCCAGATTATGGACCTCCAGTATATACAGTTGTTCCACCAGAATATTACAGACCACCAGAACCAACATATTTTGTACCTACAGATTATCAGTAAGTGATTCATTAGCATTTTAAATAAATTCTGAATTATCATAGTTATACTAAACCCTTTTTCTCTTTCAGTGATAGAATGCTTGAGTGTCCCGAATTTCCACATGCTTATGATAATCCAAGCAGCATAAATAGTCCAGCTCGACCAGTGTCAAGACTTCCTTCGTATACCCATCATCGTACTTCATCAAATGTCTCAAACGCGAGCACATCAAGTCAAAGTAACATTAACCCAACGTTCCGTTTAGAAGATGAGGACGATTATTCTTTATATTCACCTGGACATTATTATCAACGATCTTCAAATATCGTTTCAAACGTAGGAACGTATAGTCCTAGTGTGCTTAATCATGACTACGGTTCACAATTACTGACGCGTCAGAACTCGCATGATTCGAATTCAAATTCCGGAGAAAGACCCAGTAATTTAGAGGTAGTTAGTCGATTACGATCAAGTTTAAAACGATCTAATTACGCATACAATTCACCAAATAAAAGCGTAAGTAAAAATAATTCAGGTTCTGGTACTCCAACAAATCCTACTCCACCAGATTCTTTAACTTCTGAGGATTCAAGTTATGTTTCGGCTAAAGATAGCCAGATTTCTATAAGTAGGGTTCGATTTTCTCCAGTGACATTTGATCGAGATGGAGTTTCACGCGAACATAGAGAAACATTACTTGATATCCCCGTACATGGACAAAGTCAAGACGCTACTGTTCCGTTACAAGCTAATCGACGGTTGAATAGGAGTAGGAAACCAAGTATTTCTGAATTAGAAAGAGAATTTTTGTCATAGCATTGGCTTATTTAAAATGACAAAAGTAATGAAAATTAGTGATCCGAAAAGTTTTGTCAATCTTGAAAGTAACACTCAATTACAATCACACGAATCAAACGGTATATGACGCGGCAGAAATTTATCAAATCATAACTAGAAAATACAGCGATGCACGTTGTCAAAGCACTGCCTCCTGCAAAACATTTTATCATATATTGATACCGGTCAACGAATACAATAAGAATGTAACATTCCATACATACATATAATATTGAGACATCCTTATAAAAGACTTGGCATTCAATTAGACTACTTTTAATTTCATAAAGAACTGATATGTCTTATGTATGTTTTCTAGAAATAGTATAAATACCAAGATGACAATTCTTACATTTATCATTCAATGCTACATAATGTTATTTTAATTGTATTTTATGTATTACAAATGTTTTATTCATACATTCCGCACATCCTGCATCAGCTGTTAGCATCAAGCATGTAAATACTATATATTTCTATTATTAGCATGAGCACTCGAAACATTTAAAAAGGGATAAATATTTTAATTTAAATATTTTGAAAAATCGCATATAAAATCGTGTATATGTACTTGTTATATTATACAGTTGAAAATGATATTAACTCCTTTTCCTGAATATTAAAAATTAAATTTTATGCATCTACTTGTTTATCCAATATCACTTTAGAGAAATGAGACTTCATTGTTCCTTCAACTCTACAACTATCTGCTCACATTTATTACAGATTCTAATGTTAATAGTAATTTACATTCCATCAAAATTTTTTGTGACTGAGAAGAATACTTAAATGTTAACAATAATTATTGCATAGCAGAGTGAAACATATAATCAGGAAAACATTGATAATTATTTAACAGGATTGTTTGTAATTTTTGTTTTAATTACTTTGTGACAATAGATGTATGTATACTTGTACAATAATTTTATATTATGAGCAATAGATAGAAGTAATTTTTCCTAAAGTCAGTGTTTTCCTGTATATGCATAAATATATGAAAGATCTGCAATTCAGAAGTATTAGATGTACATTTTTCCTTTGATATTAAATTGTCAGATTTCATATATTATTTTATCATTTTCTAATCTTTATACAAATACCATGGCACTAGATACACGTGTGAAAAATTTGTACAGTAGCAATTTTAATGCATTTGTGAGCCACCAATGTGATAGGTTTAATTTAGTATGCCATGTGCAATTAAAACAATACTTTTTTTATATATAAAAACAGTATGCATATTGAAATTGGCGTTCCTGTAGGAAAATGTTTATTATAATTAGTTCATCTACAAAGAGTATATAGCCATCTAAGGTGTGATATACTTGCAAAAATTTTAGAACATGGATGCTCCATATACATAATCACTGTTGTACATACGAATATATATTGGATAGTTATTGTTTGCTTAACAATGTAATGGTTGATACATTCCTTTATATTGGCTGCATTGTGGAAAGTTTGAAATATTTTTTAGATTTTTAAATGCACGAGTGCCCCAGAAATTATTTTGTACTTACTGGAAATGCTAATATGTGATTAGAATACTGGGTGATACAAAAATATATTTGCTTCCTTCTTTCAGTCATTTGAATGGAAAATAGGAATGGAATTAATTCACAAAACCCTTTATTCTATATCTTTATAACTGCTAAAACGAATTGAACTAAACTTCATTTTTTATGCGTGCATGTATTTAATTTATTGGTTTAGTAATAAATAATAACTAACATATGATTTAGATTAAACTTACAAAAACTAATCAAAACTTATTTACATGTTGCGTATATTCTACGCCGTGTTTTATAAAATCAAAATAATTCAGTTATTTCTTTGACCTCATATAAAAAGAAAAACATACAGAAATGATAAACTTTTGTTTCAAAACTTATATGTTTTTACAATGATTTCCTGAGTAATAATCAGTATTGTAGGATATGTTTCAATGTATATAAAACACAATAGAGATAAAAAAAAAGATTAACTTTGAAGAAGTATTTTTTTGGTGATTTTTAATATGTGATTAATTGTTAAAATACCACTCATTTGCATATATAGTAAAAGTTTCAGTTATTGATACATTTTTATTTACCAGAAAATTTCTCAATATACTTCACCAATAAAATTCTTCTCAAAGTAAAACCAACTGAGCATTGAAGACACATTAAAATGTTTCTGAAGTAAGAAAAATGAATTCATTAAATTGGCGTTTACATACATACAAATTTATTACATATGATATTAAATATCTCATCTCAGTCATACTTATATACTTTTTCAAAGTTCAACTTGTGAAATCTTGCATATAGTTAAAAATAATTAATCAGTTGACTGAAATATTTATGATGTTATTAGAGACATATAGAATAAATATTTCATGGATATGCCTTTCTATGTTGTACAAAGATATTCTGCGGTGCTAGTATCATGTACTTAATACGTTAAGAGAGACAAAAAATTGAAAATGCTTCCAAGGTAATTGAGAAATATTTAATGAAATCTTAGAATGCTAATCAATACTTGTTGATAGTAACAATGACTTAGTTATACAGAATGTAATATTAGGCAGCTATCAACTATCAATTGTGTAATGGCGTATGATCGCCAACAGTGCTAGTCTAAGCTATATTTATTTTTTATATATTATAAC